GCACCTTAGCCACTTGAGCCACGGGCACCGAGCCAAGTGTTTATTCTTATGCCTAGAAGTAGGGCCTAACTTTAGTTAATTAAAAATTAATTCCTAAGCTATAAGCTTTGTTATTTAAACACTTTTACAATAGTGTTAGTGGCTCACGCCTGTAATCCCAGCACTCTTGGAGGCTGAGGCAGGTGGTGACTGCCTGAGCTCATGGTTGTTCAAGACCAGCCTGAGGTAGAGTGAGACTCCATCTCTAAAAATAGCCAGGCATTGTGGCGGGCACCTTTAGTCTCAGCTACTTGGAGGCTGAGGCAAGAGAATTACTTGAGCCCAAGAGCGTAAGCTTGCTGTGAGCTCTGAAGCTATAGCACTCTACCAAGGGTGACAAAGTGAGACTCTGTCTCAAGAAAAAAAAGTTATTATTAAACAGAATTTGTACTCAATCAAATTATCACGTACATCAAGCCATCTGTCCACAATAATATTAGCCTCTTTCTCAAAAGGGGGCTCTTCAAAAGTTTTCATTTTATTTAGATGAAATTGTAGATTTTTGCAGATCTTGTTTAACTTGTCTACATCTTCTGAATGTTCGTTAAATTCCTCTTTGACAACTTCAATCTGTAAAAAAAGATATGAAAGATGTTCTTTATATGCTGACATAGACATACAGCTGAGAATCACAATTCTATTATAGGCTATTCAGCTTTAAAAACCACATCACACAAAGCACTCCTCCTTACATTGTTCTTCTTTAAAGCAGGCTTTTATTGTCTCACTTTCTCAATGAAAAGTTTTTAGAATCTTAATCACTGGTTCAACGATGATTCCACACTCAAATTTCCTTCATTTCTGCATAACAAATAATAATGGTCTAAAACCACATTTCTTGTCCATGTGATATAAGAGTCCCCCCAAAAGCACCCCTATTGAGTGGTATTAAAAAATGATAGTTCCAACATTCCTATCATAGGAATTATCTATTTAATGATAAAGAATCTTAAGTGCTTATCTGAATTAAAAAAAAAACCCAAACTCTAAAACCTCTTTAATTTGACTTGTTTAATCTTTCATAATTCAAACTCCCTAATTTCTAATATGAGAAGTTAAATGCTGTTTTATCAAAAGGAAAATCTCTAGTCACTTGGAAATTAAACAACAAACATTTCTAAATATGGGTCACAGAAGAAGTCTCAGGGAAGCTTTAAAATATGTCAAATCAAATTATAAGAAAGCAATAAAACTTGTGAAAGTATGAAGTGCCAATAAGAGGGAAAGTTACAGCACTAAATGTATATATTAGAAATGAGGAAAACTATGAAATCGATAACCTAAGCTACTACTTCAAGGACCTAAGAAAATAACAAAAATAACAAAATAAACCCAAAGCAAAGCTCGCTTCAGCTGCACATATATTAAAATCGAAACAATACAGAGAAGATTACCACGTCCTCTTCACAAGAATGACATGCAAATTCATGAAGCATTCAATATTTTAAAAATAAACTGAAAGCAAGCAAATTGCAGTCAACATAAAAAATAGAAATAATTAAAAACAATACTAGAGAAAAATTAATAAAACAAACTTTTCTTTGAAAAGTTCAGTAAAACTGACAAACCTTTAACAAGACTGATAAAGTAAAAAGAGAAAAGAAAACAATACCAATATTCAGAATAAAATAGGAACACCACCACAGACACTGCAGACATCCAAAGAGTAACACGGGAATGCTGTAACTCTACACACAGAAGCTTGAAAACTTTGATGAAATACACCAAATCTTTGAAAAACACAAAGTACAAATCATCCAACATTAAATACATAATGTAAATAGTACTGTGTACTATTAATAGGAAGGAAATTGAGGGACTTACGTAAAAACTCCCCACAAAGAAATCTACAAGTTCAGATGGCTTCACTTAGAGACTTCCACCAAACATCTATCTACAAGGGAGTTAGGCAGCCTAGATGGCTTCACTAGAGACTTCCACCAAACATTTATCTACAGGGGAATTAGGCAGCCTAGTGTTCATCTCAGGCTGTACCCTTACAACTGACCATACAGAAGGAGGGAGCAGAGAAAACCTACCACAAATACACCCCCTGCTTTGGTCTGTATTGGGAACAGGGGATACAGAGTTGAGGGAATAAATAAATAAAGAGGAGTTAACCCTTAATAGACACAATCTCTTTGGGAAAACAGAAGAGAAGGAAACGCTCTCAATTCACTTTATGAAAGTAGGTTTACTCTGATATCAAAACCAGAGAAAAGGCAGAAACTACAAACCAATATCCCTCATGAATACATACACAAAAATTCTTAACAAAATATCAGCAAATAGAATTCAGCAATATAGAAAAAGAATGATACACTATGACCAAGTAAAGTTTATTCTGGGAACTCAAGGCTGGTTCAACATCCAAAAATTAATCAATGTAATCCACCTTTTTAACAGGCTATCGGAAAAGAAATCACACAATCATACCACTTAATGCAGAAGCATGTATATAAAATGTATATAAAGCATGTATATAAAATGATATAGCCACTCTGAAAAACAGTTTTACAGACCAGGCATGATAGCTCACGCCTATAATCCTACCCTCTTGGAGGCCAAGGCAGATGGATAGCTTGAGCTCAAGAGTTCAAGATCAGCCTGGACAAAAGCAAGACCTCTGTCTCCACTAAAAATAGAAAAACTATTTTTAGGCAAGAGGATCACTTGAGCCTGAGTTGGAGGTTGTTCTGAGCTATGACTCCATGGCACTCTAGCCAGGGTGAGAGTTTGAGACTCTATCTCAAAAAACAAACAAACAAAACAGTTTTCACAGTTTTTTAAAAAAATAAAACATGTACTAAAAATTAACATCTACCCAGCAACCACACTACTGGGCATTTATCCCTGAGAAATAAAGACTTATGGTCACCAAAGGCCCATTCGCAGTTTCATTCATAAAATTCAAACATTAGAACTCAGATGTCCTTCAGTGGATAAATTTGTTTTGTTTGAGACAGAGTCTCACTATGTCACCCTTGGTAGAGTGCCATGGTGTCAAAGCTCACAGCAACCTCCAACTCTTGGGTTTAAGTGACTCTCTTGCCTCAGCATCCCGAGTAGCTGGGACTACAGGCGCCTGCCACAACACTTGGCTATTTTTTGTTGCAATTGTCATTGTTGTTCAGCTGGCCTGGGCTGGGTTTGAACCTGCCAGCCTCAGTATATGTGGCTGGCGTCATAACCACTGTGCTACAGGTGCCGAGTCAAGGGTGAATAGTTAAATTGTGGAACATCTATACCATAGAATACTGCTCAGCAACAAAGGGCAACAGACTATCATGCAAGAACCTACATGATTCTCCAGAGAATAATGCTGAGTGAGACCGGCCAATCTCAAAAACATACATATCATATGATTGATTCCATTTTTAATGACAAAATTATAGAAATAGGCAATATATTAGCAGGTGAAAGGGGAGGCAAGGATTGGAAGTAGGAGGGACGTCGACAGGGCTAGAAAATGACAGTAAGGGGTATTCTTGTGGTAATGGAAATGCTTTTTATCTTCACTGTATGATGTTATTATCCTGATCGTAATGTTCTATAGTATTTATAAGATTTTACCTTTGGAGAAACTCAGTAAAGGAAAACACAGGATTTTTTTTGGTATTATTTTTTAACCACTGCATGTGAATCTATAATTATCTCAAAATAAAAAGTTTAAAGTAAAAAATTAAACTGATACACTGGCAGAGCTGAGATTCAAACTAAAGTCTTCTTGCTCCTGGTTCAGGATTCTTCATCGAGGCTCAGTTAATGAAATATACAAGGTATAGCTCCTATCTTTCTTTTTAAAAAATATTCAAAGAACTTTCTTGTTACACTGGTCCAAGTTTCCACAAGGTGAAGAGAAGAAAAAGGGTAGGAGAGGGCATTTTAGCATTGACAGGAACCGTGGGTTTTGTCCTCCAATGAATGGAAATGGTAAAACAGAGGGTACCAGGCCCACTCTAGCATTTCCCAAACTTAAAAGGTCCTCAGATAGTCCAGTCTCCTAATCTGACTCTCACACTTCTGTCTTTCACTAAAAAAGAGTAGAAATTTGTCACCATATCCTAGATAAGCATCAGTTTCTATGGTTTTATTTATTTTTTTTTTTTATGATTAGAGTTTTATTATAAAGGGCACAAATCAGGACCAGCCGAATGAAGAGACATAGGGAAGGTCTCAAACACACGGCTTATGTGTTTCACCAGAGGAATGGGGCGTGTCACCCTCCCAGTACACTGATGTGTTCACCAACCAGGAAGCTACATCAAGCTTGAGTATCCAGAGTTTTTATTGGGGTTTCACTATATATTGATTGTATCACCAGCCACGGGACTCAACTCAATCTCCAGCTTCCTTCTCCATAGGTCAGGCTGAAGCAAAGCTTTAGCCCTCTAATGCCAAGGTTGGTCTTCCTGGTGACCAGCCCCCATCCTGAGTCTTCTCACCTCTTAGCATAAACTCATGATCCCAGGGAAGCAGGAACCCCTCTCTTGAGGAGAGGGTCAAGTAGGTAACCCAAGGGAAGCTCTGTGCAAGGTGCTGTGGAGCTGGGAGTAGAGGGGCGCACCTTGCTGTCTGGAGCCATTCCTTTTGCAGCGGTTAGGACCTCACGTAACCCAGCCTCGCGGGGCTGCCTCACAACCCTGGAGTCCTAAAATCGGAGGCACTTGGGTATCCATCTGACTTCTCATTTTGCAGAATGAGAGGAAGAGGGAGAGGATCACTCTGTTCACCCCAGGAGGAGATGCCTTGTAGCACGCGTGAAGGGAGAACCTTGGTCCCCTGGGGAAGTACCAGGAATCCGCAGAAACACAATCATAATACGATCCTGGACCCAGAGCCGGGGGATTGTCAGAGTTACCGTGGCGTGATAAACCAAAGATTAGGGTCAAACCTTTGGACCTTCAGGACAGGGTGGCAAATTATTTCTGTTTTAATTATTCCAAAATCATTCTGCGATCTGTAATACTAATATATTGTCTTTTACCTCATTTCCCCTCTCGCTATTGATGTTAATTAGGAGTATTTGAGCAATTATTTTTGAGCTTTTTTTTTTCTACAGTTGATTCTTACGGCAGCACCTGTAGCTCAGTAGGTAGGGCACCGGCCACATACACTGAGGCTGGTGGGTTCTAACCCAGCCAGGGCCAGCTAAAATCAACAATGACAACTGCAACAAAAAAAATGGCCAGGCATTGTGGCGGGCGCCTGTAGTCCCTGCAACTTGGGAGGCTGAGGCAAGAGAATCACTTAAGCCCAAGAATTTGAGGTTGCTGTGAGCTTTGATGCCATGGCACTCTACCAAGGGCGACACAGACTCTGTCTCAAAAAAGAAAAAAAAAAAGAGTTGATTCTTAAAGGTGATAATCACAGCCATAGACAGGTCTGGGGCTGCCTGATGTGCCTTGAAAGATTTGAATGCCATAAAGCGATGTTTAGCATTCTCTCCTGCATTACTGAGCAGGTAGAAAATGTTCCATGTTCGTCATGCTGATGTCAACAGGCAAGTTGCCTGCTACAGAAGGCTGCTGCTTAGGCCCCACCCAGGTGCTCCCGAGGGTTGAAATTTCAGCAGACTTTTAGCCCATTTAGACCTGTGATGGGTACAGTGCTTCCTCAGGAAGCTGTCGATAAAAAATTCTCAGACTGATAGAATGTCTGTCTGAGCTTTACATTAGAAGGATCCAAGGGCAGGGCGTAGAGAAGGGGATGAAGGGTAAACGGCACACTGGTAGTTGGAACAGCGATGGAGACGTGAGGGCTTGTTATTTCTGCCACTGCACATGTTGATAATTTCTATAATAGAAAGTTTTAAAATGAAACAAAAACAGCCCAGGACAGCACAGGCCCTGTTCTATGAATTTTATCCTTGGAATTGGGGTAGGAGTTGCAAGAGGCATGGATGGAAGCTGTCTGGCCTTTGTTTTTGGTTCGTGGGGAAGACTTTCAGTCCTTGAAATTTCCCAAATAAGAGGAGCATCTTTGTGGCTGGGTGCAGTGGCTCACCCCTGTAATCCTAACAGTCTGGGAGGCCAAGGCAGGTGGATCGCTTGTGCTCAGGAGTCAAGACCAGCCTGAGCAAGAGTGAGACCCTGTCTTTGAAACTAGCAGGGAGTTGTGGTGGGCATCTGTAGTCCCAGCTCCTTGAGACACTAAGGCAAGAACATCACGTGAGCCCAAGAGTTTGAGGTTGCTGTGAGTTACGGTGCAACAGCACTCTACCCAGGGCCACAAAGTGAAAAACTCTTGTCTTTAAAAAAAAAAAAAAGTTTCTATGGTTTTAAAGAACAAAAGTTCTCAGTGGTGTCAGCTTCCAGCTCCTGGTGCAGAGCATTATAAACACGCTACAGAACTGGCTGTCTCTGAAGACAGCACCTCAGTCATCACGAAACTCACACAAAGTTATGTCAGCAGCCAGTACTAACACTTGCTTTTTTCTGAGACTCCCAGACAATTTGAGGAAAGAATTAAACACTAGTATACTAAAATGTCTGTATTTTTTATACAAAATAACCTCTTGTTTCAACAAACATATAAAGTGCCCATACACTTGATATTATGTTAGATACAAAATTCTCAGTAAGGCAAGTCTGTGCTACTGGACATTTCTTAAAGGTAATTATAGTTATTTTATTAATGTTTAAAATAATCTTTTACAACTAAGCCATTCTAGTTGATTAAAGAGTATAGCCAAAGCAAAGTTAGCCAAGTTAACCTAGCCCCACTTTTTTCTTCTTATAGAAGCTGCTAATATGACTGTGAAAACTGCAATATGTAAATTAGACTGTATTTATGAATAGGCAGGATCAGTGTGCATGAAGAATTCAACACATGGACATGTGTTAGTCTTCTCCTTCATGTTGCTGTCTTGTTGTCGAACAGGTTAGATGAGTTACATCTCCCTGGGATCAGCATTTTGCACCTGTCTTCTCTCTCCACCCACATAGGCTGGGGACCACAGCATATGATGACCAAGCCAAGAAGATAGAAGCTGTTGTCATCACCATCATCATTTTTATTAGCATCACTTCATTAGTAGTAGTGGTATTACTTAAAACCTCAAACCCACACAATAAACCCATTTGGAAATAAAAACAATTTTTATGGCTTCAGAGTTTTCTGGCATCTGGGGAAAATCATTTATTGGAGAAGAAGAGGTATAGTTAGATCAGTAAAGAAAAAGTAAATCAGTAAATTTGCAAAGTATTATAATAAATATCTTTGGTATTAAAGATTTTCCCTATTTAAGGTTATTTCCTTAGGATTAATTCCTAGAAGTGAAATATTCCAATGGTAGAAAGATTTCCAAAGATCTTGAGTGACATTGTCAGTGTTTTCTACAAAATGTTTATTGCTGCCCAATTCATAATCACCAAGTCATGGATGCAGCCCAAATGCCCATCAACCCATAAATGAATAAACAAATTATGGTATATGTATACCATGAAATACTATGCAGCTATAAAAAAGATAGAGATTTTATATCTTTTATGTTTACCTGGATGGAGCTGGAACATATTCTTTTTAGTAAAGTATCTCAAGAATGGAAAAAAGTATCCAGTGTATTCAATACTATTATGAAACCAATATATAAATACATGTTCATACAAATGATAAAACACAAGTATAGTCCAGAAAGAGGGATAAATCAGTTTCAAAGTACTCCCCTTGGGAAGCTATGCACTGATGCTGGCACCCAGTCCACCTTTCAAAGCAATCTGGGAACTCTTTTTCTGGAATGACCATCAGAGCTCTTATAGTGTGGGGTCTGACAGTTAAGTTCACAAACTTGTCACCATGCACTTTCTTGGTAGCACTGCACCACCAACTCGATAAGGTTTCATAACCTTGGAATATCAGTGTCTCACAGCTGTGTTTGTGTAGACATGTGGCAATGTCTTGCAGAGCAGTGTTCATTTTTGTCATTACGTGTTTTTGTGTGCCATACAACAATAGCTCTGATGGTCATTCCAGAAAAGAGTTCCAAAATTGCTTTGAAGGGTGGACTAGGTGTCAGCGCAGAGCTTCCCAAGGGGAGGACTTCAAAGGAGACCATAGTGATATTCAGCAATGAGGTCTGTACACCTTTGTCAACTTAATTGTCAAACCTCACATATATACTAAGCAGCTATTGTTATAAGACACCTAAGAAAGGGGTTCTATAATAGTTTTTATTTTATATTTTTCTATTAATTCATAATAAAAACACCATCTACACTTCAAGTTTAACATGAAAGATTTAGTATACATGTTTGTCTCTATTCTTTCTGCAAATGCTACTTTAAGAGCACACAAAAATTAAAATGGTATAAATCCACAGGTACAAAGAAAAGAGTATGGGAATGCTCTCAGATGAGAGGTGAGAAGCTGACCAGAGGAAGCCAAAACCTCAGCCTAGCCTGAGATGGGGAGGAGGAGGGAGGAAGCCAACAGAAGTAAGTCCGTCTGTGCCACGGAATCTAGAACAAGTCTAGAAATTACCTCACAGTACCCATGAAAGCAGCCCCAGGAAGGAAGATTCAGTGACATTTTTAAGAGAAACCCAGTTAGACTCTCCAGTCCTCTTCCTGCTTAGATGCCCTCCCTCTGGACCCTGCTGGAAAACCAAAGGTTGACTTTCTGGAGACGCTCTAGACTCAGGGCTGCTGAGCACAGCTGAGGACAGAGGAGAGTCCTGTTGTGACAGCCACAGAGGAGCTAATGATAGCAGAAAGGTCAAGGCCTGGCACTAGATTCCACGTAGGGCAACTCACCCTTGAGAGGGGCCACCTGCTGTAGGTTCCAGGATGTGGTTTGTTAGTCAGATAAATAACTTACACAGAAAGTAGTGTCCAGTTACAAGGCAGCAAGAAGAGCTGCAGACAGGCCACACGCAGCATGGGACAGCATAGCTGATACTCATTAAGGCGCCAAGTAAGTCCCAGGCGCTGCACCTGGGAACCTCTGCTAGGTTCTTTACAAGTGCTGCCTCACTGAATCAGGAAAGGGATGCTTACTGCTCTCAACAGCGTGCCTCGTAACAGGGCCAAGATGGGGCTCCGGGTCAGAGGATTTGCATAAACAAAGCAAAGCTGCAAGTCAAGAGAGTCTAGATATCTGGTCAGTATAAAAGATAGGGTCTCAGGGTCTACCAAAGGCAAAGACCTTGACCCTGAAGAGTTTTAGGGCACAGAGAAGGGTAGTTATGTGAATTGCCTGAGGGGATCTTGCAAGGCTGAACATGCTGGATTCTCTGAGAATCAGGGAATCCAGAGCTCCTTAAATCTACAAGAATGAGGACAGGATCCTCCCAGATGCCCAAACCAGACAACCCAAAAGCTGCCTGCGCTAGATGGAACTGGACAAGTTGCACCCGAGAGACTCTGACTCATTCCGAACTCTACTCAGGGACTTGGTGACTTCAGGGAAGCTAGATAGGAAATTACAGCCACATGCTGTATAACTGGTGTCCAAATAGGGTTCTTTACGACTGTTCTAAAAACTAAGTCTGAGACATGGGGTCCAGACAAGGCTATTCCTGACACACTGGGTGTCACTTGAGCATCAGGGTTAACAGTTACAGATAAAGACTAAATTGTAATAATCGGATCTATTTAAGCCTCCACTGATTTGCTCACCGCAACTGAGAAGTTTCAGAAAACTGCTTCCCAACATTCACGTGTACCACGAAGCCCACATTTCACAGACACTTTTGACACCTTGAAAGCCCTTGAGCTGAGTTCCCATGAAATCAACAGAAAAAGCAGCCTTCTGGTGTAAGCCATCTAGTGTGTAGCATAGCGTACTCTTCCCTGAGGCTGCCTCACTGGCTGATGCCTGAGTAAAACCATAGGAAATAATGACATCTAGTGTCCAAAAATTACTCTGCTTCGATATTGGTAAGCTGTGAACACAGATGGAGCAACTGGGGATAGGCATGCATGATGCTACAGAAAACAATAAATAAAAACATAGCTTTCCTTTGTCCACTAACAACAGAGAGGATTTTCTTGCTAATTTCATCCTCTCACATCAGCAGTGAAGACACAGGTTCTTTTTAAATAGAAGGTCAGTGCAAAGGCTGTTGCAAACTCAGAGAGGCTGCAGCAGGGGCGACTCTGGGCTGTAGCAGAACCATGGCCCCAAGATCAAACCCCAGACAGAAGCAAACCACCATCTATTTGGGGACTGGTTGGTTTCAAACCCTGGTGATAAATTTAATAAATTCTTAGAGACTAGATAAAATAGGGTATTGGTAACTTCTTTTAAACCAAATTTTGAGAAGACTTCATTTATAATATTCTTTACTGTCAGGCTTGCAAGTTATGTCACTATGCAAAAATTTTCTTCTGGAACTTGGACTCACCTCTGCTATCCTCTTCTTCAGGTTTTCCTTCCCCATGTACAAAGACGGCAAGGACATTACATTCTCTTCTTTCTGAATCAAAGTCGTCAAGACACTTTTAAAACTCTGATACTGCTTTAAGAGCTCTAAAACTCTTCCACACTGTTCTAGACTATGAAGAGAAAAAACATTAAATGGTTAAATGTCTGAAAATAACAAAAGCATCTGTCTCTTTGTAAGTATTTAACGGTAATGACTAATAAAAAGTGTCTATTTCACATGGTTTATAACATTATTTTACCAATTTAACCTAAGAATGATGGCACAGTTTATCTGTCAAACAGATGGTATAATCACTGGATTAGTACTGTTACCAGGTCAGTATTAAAAAGTCACTAGGGGTAAGCTCTGGAAAGAAACAGAGGATTTATAACCCTAAGGAATCAGTATCTCAAGTTCATCACTGACCCAAAGATATACTTAGAAAATAGTTCCTCCCTAGCATTATTCTAGATTATTTCCATACGAATTCTGCAAGTCATAGGTTGTTTACGAGGACAATTTCTCTACTCATTCCAGGTTTAGTCCTTTTTCAAAAGTAAAGTAGCACAGATAACACAGCATCCAGGATGCCTGGTTTCTACCATAGCTGGGCCCTAACTGGTCTTGTGACTTTGAATGAGTTACTTTAGCCTCTTTGGATCTCAATTCTTTCTTTAGGAAAATCAGAAGGTTGACTAGATCTAACGGCACAAAAAGGCTTTATCTTGACTATCATACCCTCAGGTTCCGGCAGGAAATAGGAAATAGAAATTCTCAGATGAATTCTGAAGAAAAGGTGCCAAAAGGGCCTCTGATAGTTGGGAGAATTAAGGGAAATAGCCAGAGGAGCTGACGCACCCAGGGGAAAAGCCAGGGCAGGCAGGTTATGCCACCTGCCTGAAGGGGACAGAGAAGACAGTGCCCTGAGAGCACATCAGGAGGTGCCAGAAACACTTGCTAAAAAGAAGCCAGTGAAGAGCACCCTGGCTCCCCAGTCGCCCCTAATCTCCTCCTGCTGCCTCCCACTCCCTAGCCCAGCTGGAACCCCAGGAAGCTGCTGTGGGTAGGGGTCAGTCTCCCTGACTCCCTACCCTGTGCAGATAGTAAGGGGAGAAAGCACAGATGGAAAAAAGCCAGAGGAACTGACAACCGTAAATGCAAGGAATCACAAAAACAGCCACATCTCTCAAAGAAATAAATAATGTCATATTTTAAAAAGTAAGAATTGCTAACTGGGACTGATATGTCATGGTCTTTATAGTTCAGAAAACTTTTGTGACTAGCTCAGACTGTGCAAGAAACACAACATTCGCTCTTGAAGTAGGCGAGTGCAGTAGAGTAGGGCTCTCCACTCCCAGAGACGTCCCCATGATGATTCCTGAATCCTGTGAATGTCACCTTGCCTGCTACCTCACAAGGCAAAAAGGACTTTGCAGAGGTGATCAAGCTGAGGACCAGAGAACGGAGATTATCGGGGACTGTGTGGGTGGAGCTGGTGTCATCATAGGGGTCCTTCTTCGGGGTTTCCCTGAACAGAAGACACTGTCTAATATATATATATATATATATATATATTTTTTTTTTTTTTTTTTTTTTGTCCCCCCCAAGAAGACACACTAAGGCTTATTTTCAGGGGATGTCTTCCTCTCTGCACCAAAATGCATGGCATGGCTATGCAGATACGCGGGTCTTATCATCGGGGCAGGTGTTATATTTAACAAATGCATAGAAATCCTGCTAGGGCTTATTTTGGGGGTAGGTCTTATTTTTGGGGAAACATGGTAAGTGGGTGGGAGGCAGGAGAAGGTGTCCAAGAAGGAGAAGTGAAGACAGAACTGAGGTCAGAAGAGACAAAGACACTATATGCTGTTTAAAAGATGCAGGAAGGCCAGGCATGTCAGAGGCTTCTAGAAGATGGAAAGGAGTCTCCAGAAGGAACACCACTCGGTTTTAAGACTTGCTAATTCCAAAAGTATAAGGAAATAAATTGGTGTTGTTTCTAAGCCACTGAATTTGTGCTCATTTCTTATGGCAGCCAGAGGAAACTCATCCTGGGGGATGACAATCAGGCACATTTGTATCCCCTGGAGAGAACTCTTAGGTCATTCTGGCTATAACCTAGGGCTCTCAGTCTTGTCCCAGGCACTGGCCCTGTGGGCTCCAGTGTGAAATACTTATGTGATTTCAACATAAAAATTCCAAAACTTAATTGTGCTACAGGCACTTTTTCTGATTCGGGAGGAGCATTTTTTCCCTTACCTTTCAGTGATCAATGCTTTTGTATTCTCCCACAGAAGCACTGTATTTTGGCACTGCTGATTCAAGGTTTTTTCTCTGCCATCTTTGAATTGTGGAAGAGAACTGGCCATTTCTTGTAATTGTGTCTTTTCTTCTTCATATTCATCCAGATCCTTATCCAGTTTGAGTAATGATATTTTCCTTGATTATGAATGAGAACAGTTTGATAGCCAACTGTTAACCAGTTTGATTCAACAGAACTATGGGTAACTTGGGGAGCTAGTGAACTTTCATTTGTCTCCATAAGGGTCATGCCAATATTACACATTTTTATTACAGACATCAGGAGTCTCTTGGCATTTACAGAATACTAATTTGGTGTTTTTGAATAACATAACAAATACATGGAACCATGAGCAGTAATTTTTTCTATGATGAAGACACATGTAAAAGGAATGTATTATGCATATAAGAGAAAGTGAGGGAAAAAAGATGTGTGTGCGTATGTGTGAGGAAGCGGGCAGGACATGTGAGGAGGAGAAGGATGGATGATCCAAGCTGCAGGGCTCCTGAGGGAGGGGAGGGCAGCCTCAGAGGAAGGAAAAAGCCAGGGAAATCCTGCACTCTGTGCTATGCACAAAATCTCTCCGGTATCAAAAAGGAGTCATTTAGCCAAGGGTGGACTAATCCCAGAGGGATGACTCGCCTAAAGTGCTCACTGCCTTGACTTCCCTCCTCTCAGGCAGATTTCACTCCCTGCTGCTCCACCAAACTGCTCCTGTCAACATCTCTGATAACCCCCACCTGGCAAAAACCTCAATCCATTCTCAATCTTCACCTTGTGTCACTGGTCAGTGCCATAGGACACAGCTGATCACTCCTCCTCATTGAAATGCCTTCTCCCATAGCCATGGGACTCTCGTGATTTCCCTCCTCATACACTGGCTCCTCCTCACCTCCCTGGTCTCTCAGCACGGAAAGCCCCAGAGATGGCTGCAACATGGACCTCTGACTTGGACCTCTTCCTCATCTGTCTGCACTTACTCCCCAGCAATCCAGTTTCATGGCTTTAAATAGCCGTGAGAAAATGAGAAAAACTCATCCGCCCAGACCTCTCTGCTGACTCCTAACACCATCTATTTTTATGTCTTACTGACAGCACTACTTAGTGTCAAATAAGTATTTCGAGCCTATCTTTTCTAAAATTGAGCACTCCTGGTGGTCTGTTCACCACTCCAAATCACTCCAGTCTTTCTCTCTTCATTTCAATGGCAAGTCCATTCTTCCGACTGTTCATCTCAAACCTGGGAAGCATTTTTAACTCTAATCTTCCTTTTATGCCTTACATCCAATGCAACAACAAATCTTCTGGACCCTTTCTTCAACATATACACAGAGGTGCAGCCCTTCTCTCCACCTCCCCCAGCCAATGCCGCCATCTCCTTTACCCCGATCACCACAGTAGGTCAAACCAGATGCATGTGTCTCCTCTTGACACTTTTAGTCTACTCTCAACACACTGGCCAGAGAGAAGCATGATGATGAAAACCACATCACTTCCCTCTGCTCGGACTCCTCTAGTGACTTCCCATGTCACTCAAAGGACAAACCAAAGTCACCACATGCCCACAAGTCCCTGGATGAACTAAGACATCTGTCCAAATTGTCTCTGACCGCCCCTGCTGCACTTTCTCTTCCAACGCACCTGACCTTGGTACCTCAGCCCAGACAGCTCCTCCTCCAGGTAGACAGCTGGCTTGCTCTCAGGTGATGCCAATGTCACCCTTCCTGACAGCCCTATTGAATACCTCCTCCTTGCTCCCTTAGTTTTTGTCCATGGTTTTCATCACCACGAGATATGCTAAGTATCCTGCTCCTCTCACTAAAAAATAAACTCTAAAAGGGGCAAGAACTTTCGTCTATTTTGTCAACTGCTATATCCCCAATACCTAAAACAATGCCTGGCACAGTATATATGTTTTTCTATTGATAATTAAACTTAACATACAGTTTTTCATTTATGAGAATTTGTCTTTATTATCTATGAATATGTCATTAAAATTTATTAAAGCAATAACTAAATTAATAATTAGTATAATGTCTCATTAAGAACTGGAACACTTCAGGAGCAAAAGTCTGACTGGGATGAGGTCATAGGGCGATTTCAGAGGGAGAGTACACTTAGTGTAACTGAGGGTCTTGGCCAGCTAAAGACCCCTCAAGAGACCATTGAGCCTGAGGAACTAGGGGTGGGTAGAAGAGGGGACGGAAGGTGGGAGAGATTTAGCAAGAAGAGAAGAGTTCACAGCAGAGGCTCTCACTAATCTTCAACTTTCAGACCATTTTGGATGCTGAGGAGGTCACCAACCTCAGTCTACCCTGATTCTGCTCAGTCTCCAGAATCAACACTAACCTTAGCTTACCTCTTCAATTCAGTCTTTTGTCCTCCTCCTCAGACCCCACCCTAATCCTGCCAGGAGAAGGGGTGGCAAAGAACTAAGGGAGAAAGTGCACAGATGTGGCAGATACATCTTCTCCCCTCCCACCCGTTTCTTTAACGTCAGAGGGGTGGAGTTTGCCAGGCTTCTGTACGTAAGACAACTCCACAGTAAACACACAGAGGAACAGGGGATTGTGAAGTAACTCAAGTGTGGTGCTTTACGCACCTCACCCCTGACTTCACCTCCTTGGTCCACAAGAACATACACTTTAAAGAGAAAAAGAATTATACACCATTTTGTTAAGGCACAATATTAACCAAAAAATGCCCGCTTGGAAAGTCTACAGAAGAGCACACTGAATGCTGAGTAGAGTGGGATGGGCCAGAAGCAGACAGATGTGGGAAGGATCGTGTCACCTAATAGGTATGTAAAGATACAGAAACAGGCCGCACACAATACCTACCGATGTTTCACAGCTGGAGCCGTGGGATCCTTAAGACCAATCTTACTGATCTGATTCTGCACATCTTCAATATTTTTAAGGAGTTCTTCATTTTTGGAAACGCAAGCCTCTAGCAACTCGTGTTCCTCAGCAAGTCTCTCCCGCACACCATGTGTCTCCACTAACTGTACTGACACAGCATCAGAAAGTTTCTCACAGGAGGTGTCTTCACCCCGTGTAGCGTCTTTAAAGCTCATATCAAGCATCTTCAAACGTTCGTCCAAGCGTCTGGCATTGTCTTTCATCAGTTGAATTTCTTCTGCTTTATTTTTTGCTGTCGGAGTATTTTCTGATATCGCCTGTGTACCTGAGGCTGAATGGCCTGGAATAAGCTCAGCAGAGAGTTGAGACATTCTGAGAGACCCCAGAAAATCCTCCAGCGCCTTGAGGACATCTTCAGTTGTCTGCACCTTGTGATTCATTTCTTCAAGTCGTGTTTTGCATTTCAGTATAATCTTCTGCACTGCATGCACATCCAGTGGATGTAATTCCTTCCATACAAAGTTGCCTGACTCTCCTAAATTATTGCATATTTCAATCTGCTCTGCTATGGAATCTTGGATATTCTAAAATAAAAGTAAAAAAACCTAAAAAGACTCAGGCAAGAAGAAGACAGACTGTGCATCAGAAACTACCTCCAAATTACCTGACTAGATTTGATCTAGAAAAATGTTTCTCAGTTTGACCAAAGCTGACAGTTGCAGCATAAGGAAGCATTTGAATTATGAATGAGACAGTCCTGTAGTTTCATTATCTGATACCCTTCCTGATGTTTCAGTCCCCCAAAGAAAATAAGTACAGAAATCTATTGCTTCAAAGAAAATAACTGGAGAGTGAACTGCTGAGAACTCTATTTTCTAATTTGAAAAATGAAACAGACACCTTGGATTTAAGATGAGATTTGGAATAAGAAAATTATATAATATGCTAATCTAACTAGACAAGTCTAATATGATATTTACTAATTTAGTCATTGAAAAAGGCATTCATAAATAAAGCCTCATTTTGGTATTCAAAGAAAACGCCCCATTATTTACTACATAGTACCCACCTCCAAATTTGTAAGGAATTAAAGAGTTGAGAAATAAATAAGAAGTCTAAATCACTGAAGATTTTTCAGTCGTGGCTCATATTCTAATTCTATACTATGATAAATAACTAATGATTCATAAATATCTATAAATCTCTAAAGAATGGGTCATTCTGTAAATACACCATGAGAACTTACACTTACCCTCAGGTTTTGATAAAGGCCATCGGCATCAATGAGATAAAATTCCTGGACAGTCACTTCACTCGGGGGCAGGTCTGAGTCACAGAGAAGGCGTAACCCATTCTCCACCGGTAACACAATCTGTAGTGCAGTCTCCAAAGACTTCATTCTGGGTAAAAAACAAACCAGAAATGAGGGGAGACTACAGCAGAATTGTATCCTATAGAATATATTAACACCATTATTTAACCAAGAATATAATTACACAATAAAAATATATAATCCTATGTATAGATCATTATTAATGATTTCTTCTTTTACTCTCTAAAGTATCCCAATACTGGGGGCAGCACTTGTGGCTCCACCAGCCCCATATGCCGGAGGTGGCGAGTTTAAACCCAGCCCCAGCCAAAAACTGCAAAAAAAAAAAAAAAGTATCCCAATATCCAAGCATTTTTATTTTCTGAGACAGAGTCTTACTATGCTGCCCTTGGTAGAGTGCTGTTGCATCACAGCTCACAGCAACCTCAAACTCTTGGGCTTAAGTAATTCCTTTGCCTCAGCCTCCCAATAGCTGGGACCCGCCACAACAGGTAGTCATTTTTTGGTTGTAGTTATCATTGTTGTTTCGCAGGCCCAGGCTGGATTTGAACCCGCCAGCTCTGGTATATGGGGTTGGTGCTGTAGCCGCTGAGCTATAGAGGTCGAGCGTCCAAGCATTCTTAATAGTTTGAAGAGATATCACGTTGAATGGAAAATTGTAAAATATGTCAAGTCTTTTCCTTTCCTATGAAGTAAATGTTTTAATGTAATCTAACTTCATTTTGATGACTAAGAATACATATAGTTATTTTATTATAATTACGGGATAACTTGCTACATGGAAATATAGTGAGGTTCAAATGTACCAGTAATATGCTGAAATGTGTGAGTATGGGTAGGTGACATGTAGACTTTGAGTCTTAATTTCTTCCCAGGTGAAACAGGAAATGTGTACTGGAGATATATGGCCTCTGGATATGGGGTAATGACAGAACTCTCTATTCAGCATGCCCAGAAAAGTTATGTGACTTGGCAGAATTCATGTCCAAGAGGAGACAGAAGGAAAGGTAGGCTTCTCCAGTGGCCTTGGGAGCCTGCCAGACCTTAAGACCCACTGAAGTCTCTATGCCTGTAATCCTACACCCTAGGAGGCCAACGCAGGAGGATTGCTTGAGCTCAGGTGTTTGAGACCAGCCTAATAAGAGTAAGACTCCACATCTAATAAAAGTGGAAAACTTAGCCAGGCATTGTAGTGGTGCCTATAGTCCCAGACACTTAGGTGGTTGAGGCATGAAGGTTGCTTGAATCTAGGAATTTTTGAGGCTGCTGTGAGCTCTGATGAGGGCACGGCACTCTACCCAGGGTGACAGAGTGAGACTCTTGTCTCAAAAATAAAATAAAATAAAATAAAAATAGAATAAAAAGGTATAAAATAAAAATAAAAACTAAAAGTATCTCAGAATTTTACCTGGTCTTAAGGGCCATCTGAAACTCTCTTTCCTTTCCCTTTAAACTGTTTCTTTCTTTAACCATAAAAGGCTTCTTTTTGTCACTCACACGATTTTCTAACTTCAGTGAAGTGATTTCAAATGCTTTCCAACATGTTTCAGTTTCATTTTGTAAGAGCTAAATGAAACACAGAAATTAATTTATCAATTAATGGGTTAATAGGTACAATTCTTACAAAATGAGACAATTATCATCTGTGACAGCAAATACAATGTGTTACACAAAAATCATTTTAAAATATTTTCCTTGTGATTACCAGGGTTGGGACTTTATGTAGGAGCCACTTCATAAACATTCTTTTTACACACATACACACACACACAAATATATATATATATATGTATATTCCAACAACTTACAAGTGAACTGTCATAGGGCAGTGATTTTCTTTTTCTTTTTTCTTTTCTTTTTTTTTTTTTTTT